CACTTGTGAATAATAGTAAAAGAAGATTGACGAGTCGAAACGTTAGAATCCGAACGGTCAAAGGGCTCTTGAATCAGTACCCGAACGACCAAAGGCCTTAAACCCGAACAGTGCAATTTCTTGTGCTCGTATACCACGTTAAATAATCCTTCTAATGTGTCGAGTTAATGAAAGTCTTTATTCAAGTAGCTATATATATATATACAATTATTTTTTCTCATAAAGGGTCGTCTTTGATATGTAGTAGAGTCTGTTCACTGCTTCTAAGCTTTGCCCAGTTTTCAAAGGTGCCATTCTGTTTTTCAATTTTCCCCTGTGATAGATCGAAGAAATTTTTTTTTCGAAAAGTTCAGAAAATTTCTGGCAGAATCAATGCAAAAAAATGGCTTCATTTTCTCTCCATCACCAACAGCCTAATACCCTAACCTAAAACAAACTAAATCGATTTCCCCTACAGAGAAACGCTTTCAATACAAACCCAATTAATTATCCGAGGTCTGTCCACCACACCGGTCAGTACTCTCCATCTACCCTCTGCCTTACCCGCAAAAACTCCTCGCTTTTCCCGCCTAAATCGAGACTCCGCAGTTGTTTACGGGTTCACGAGACCCGGCCGGTAAATTGATTGCCTGCCGTACCACGCGCGCTCCCCACTCCTTTCTAAATCACCGCAGGGCCTCTGCTGAAGCTATTCCACTCCAAAAGAATAAACACCAAACAAAATAAAATTCTCGGACGTTTATTTTCACGTCGAATATGTTTGTGACCCGAGTTGTCCCTCGGTGGAAAAAATGAAGGAAAAAAAATCATTCCCGGGGTGAAAAAAAGTTTTTAATTGAACTCAACTCGGAGTAGAATTTTTTTCTCAACCCTCTCGCATCCAAATACGGGACAAAGTGCCATTGCACAAGCGGAATTAAAGGGCTGAGGAGCCGAGAGCTTTTTCATTCCCATTCGAATATATTTTTTTTTACTATGCACTTTTACGTCATCATTGGAGGGAACTTTTTTTAATGGGTCCCGTAAAACGAGACTCGCGGAAATTGAATGGTATGTCTATTCTATTTTTTTTCTTCGGGAAAAAGGGAAAGGAGAGGCGTTGAAAGAAAAACGAAATAACAATAAAAGGGTGTTGGCAAGCACGTTCGAAGCGCCGACAACCGCCTAAGGGACTAGCTACACATTTGTCTGGCGTTCACACGAGAAGCAATATCGTTCCGGTCGATATGTTGCATGTCCGAGAGTCAGAGGGAGGTTCAAATGACGAGACAACCTTAGATAGTTTATCATGAGAGAAAGAGTTTTTCCAGGTCACATGTTTTTTCTATTATTTTCTTTTGAATTCGATTGAATGGAGTAAAAGAATGATGTGAAATATCGAGTTTTCGATATTTTTCAAGCGTTTTATTTCATTCGGGGGGAATATGATGAGACAAAAATGGATTGTTAGAATCATTTTGAATTTATCAAAAGCTATCTTTGTTTGATAATATTTTTTTTTAGAAAAATTTTGTCATCATTTAATCATTTAAACAATTATTTGGCATTGTTAATACGTGAGATAATTTTCAATTTTATCATTTTCGTTACTGAGGCGCGATAAGTGTCAATTCTGCGACTCTTTTGGAGACGACAGGTTGAGGATAATGGCACTGGATTTCGAAGAGGCCCATTACTGCTCCTAGGAGCATAGGTGCTTACCTACGCTCCGCGGTGCTTACCTGCGCTCCGCGAAACGAAACGTACAGCGCCTCTAACGTCCTTTGTCGTAACTTACCGGTAGTGTGGCGGACGGATGAACACAAAAACGTGACTGAAAGTGTGAAAAGAGTGAAAGAAATTAAAAATCGAAATGAATCGTATTATACCGGAAACTCAGGAGGAACTATTTTCTCCCGATATGTTCGACGAGGAAGATGAGGCAAATGACTCCATTGCATCAGCTCACGTTCACTCTCTGGATTATCAAGACATTTCGGGGAGTGACCATAACCCCAACAAAAATGCATCATTTATCCCCGATGATGTTTTGGATAATGCTAAAAAGGCTGAATCCTATTTAATTGCCACAAAGTCCAAAAAAGCGTATAAAAGAGCATATAACAATTTTAAGAATTTTTTGAACGATAAAAAAATTCAAACTATCAATGAGACAGTGCTGATGGGATACTTCCACATGCTGGGAAGGACGATGGCACCTAAATCGTTTCTCATCCAGAAACGATTACGAAACGAATTACTTAATTAAATATTTAGAAATACTGCAACAATCACGCGTAATTTTTCTCTCAAAAAAATCTCTTGTGCTCAATTTTCTAATTTTTTTCAAATTTTTTCAATTTTTAATTTTTTTAAGTATGTGGGGCAAGGGGGTGAGTTATTGTACGATCCATCATATTTTCATATGTTTGGGATAAAAGTTCATGATTATTGTGATTTTTTTCTATTATTTTTTATTTTGCTTATTTGGGTTTGACTGAATGGGGGGGGGGGGGGGTTCGCCCCCCCAACCACCCCCATCGGGGCTTCGCCCCCTGGACCCCCACCTGCGCCCCCACCGCCCTTGTCACGCCTTCGTAACGAAAAAAATATTATGTCATTCGGCCGATGGTGTCGGATTGTGAGTCATGCTGCAAACTTCACACTCCTCACAATCCTCCACCTATCGTTCTCATGACATAATCTACTATTTGTCTATCCTTTTAAAAAAAAAGGTATGGGTGATAAAAATCTGGTGAGGTTCGTTGGTTCGTAGAATGGTCCCGTAAGGGAGAAGTGTAGGTTTGGACTTGTTTGTAAGATGCAGTACATAGAGACTTCGGCCTGTGCCAAGTCTATTTATTCTCTAAAAATAATTACGCGCGAATATTTACAAATGACTCAATAGCTGAGTTCCAATTACAATACAAACACTTGATAATTATCTTGATAACTGTTCATAATAAGTCTGATGAGTATCACTGATAATGTTCATTTATGACATTGAAAAACTGTTCTCATACCTTCTCAAGAATTATCGAACAAAATATGAAGAAAACGTCATGAAATTATTTTACACAATTAAAACATTCTCATTACAGAAATTCAATTCTCCTCGTTATATCTTTTCCCAACATGTCTCCGCATTATTATACACTTTAACCCACTCACTATGTAAAATTCAAGAATTCCAACAGTGAAAAGAGACCCCAGCCTCGCATTCATTCCCAACACTAAAACTGAAAAGATAAAATGAAAGAAAGTGTAAAACCAAGTCTAGCGATTCCCCCACCCATTTCTTTTCAATTTCTTCCTCAATCTTTTCCCCATCCACTTCTTCTCAGTTTCATGCAAAATCCTGAATCCTCATATCTAGAGCCTGTCCCTCTTGCTCTCACCATCATTGTTCGAAATCTCAAAGTGTTAAGGCGAGAATTTCATCCCTAGAAACTAAACAATTGCAACGGTTGTAGCTGTGTGGTATAATACCAAGAGGATGAGAAAGAGGCGGGATGAACTTTGAGTGAAAATGCCCTACCCCAAAAGACTCACTGGGTAAAGTTCAAGGGATGGAACGGGAATAATAAAGCAACAGTTGGAGCGTCTTTTAATCCAGTGACTTTGTGTCCAAGTTTATGGTATCTTTTAGATAGTCAACTGTGAATCGTCCCTCGTCTCTTTGGCGAGGGGGAGAGAGTGCTGGATCTATACAGGAGTTTTGTTCTCGAGGATTTCTCACAAGTTTTTTTTCTTCTCCTGGAACTTTTTGAGTATCGGTTAAATTACTTAGGGGTGAATTCTGGGTTAAGGGGGCCATTTTGGGATTGATTCATTAGGGGTTTCATGGCCCTGAGAGTAAATTATTTTTATCGAGATGTTTCTTTCTTGGAACAAGTATTATATAGGGTGTCCCAAGATGATTTGTACGGCTAAATAACTAGCTATAAAGTCGTTAAACGCGAAAAAGTTTCAGACCAAAGTTATAGGGCTTAAAAGGGGAAAAGTAATGAGAAGCGTATTTTGAGCATAAGTGTTTATGCTACAAGCATAAGTTCATTTCTTTTAAATGGGACCAACAATTTTCATCTTACGAAAGTTGTTGGATTTGGTGAGACGAATACAATAGTACCATACATGAAGTATTTTTTCATGTTTTTGGGCTAATATTCCAAAAAAATGAATAAGTTATACTGTGATCTATCAAATCGGGCACTAATCGGCCCAGTTTGATTTGAAAGTCCGCCTAGGTAAAGAAAGTTTAATGAGTTTAGAATGTTTTTGTCAACATAGGATTATTGTTGTTTTGGTTGTGAAATGATGAGCTTTTTCAGATAGTGTAAATTCATCAGTACTATTCAGTACAGAGTGAGTGTGTGATCATGCATTATTCGGGGATTGAAATCACAGACCCATCCCAAAGCTTTTTCCGCGTAACAATATTCATCCTGATTCGACATACGAAATGCTCACTTCAATTATAATTTACTTGGAACAACGTATGATCGTGTTGATTGAGATAACGACGTATTTAGTCATGAGAATAATTTTTATTTTTGAGTAAACCAACGAATTTCTGGAGTTGGCAAACTTTTGGTTAGAAAGAAATCAAATACTCTCATTATTGCGACAAATAAAAGGAACTTAAATTCCAGAGAAGTTCGGTTTGTCCCAATCAAATATATTTCAAGAAGAGATAACTGGTATTCACTATGAAACTATGTTTATTCGAAAATTAACAACCAAATGATAGTTGGTTTAAATGAAATTCTCTTGATAGTATTAATTTTTCTGTCAGTGTGAAGAATTCGTTGTTTTTCGTTGTTGAAAATTCCCAAAAGTCAATTTGATTATGAACATCAGACAAAAGAGGGAATACCTCCAGCTCTCCAACCCCCTCACTTAATTAAATTCCCCTTTCCGAATTCAATTCAATTCGAATGAACAACCTAACGTTGAATTGAGCATTGTAGAGCAATTCTCACTTCACCTCGCAGCGAAATAATGAAAATAATGGCACATACCTGTTTGAGCCAACCGCGCCACAAATCCCTGTCCCAGGGATGGTGAAAGCCGAGGTATAGATGTCTTGCATCGGGATGATGAGAGGATTGTGATGACAATGACTCTCCATCGTCGTGAAATTGCTCCGGGTTATCCTCCAACTGCTGTTGGCTGATCCTTGGATAACCCGTGACGCGGAGAACGAGCTTACCAAGCCGGGAGGGCGCATAACACACTGCACCACCATTCAACTCTATCCATTCTGGTCGTGACTCTGGACATACTGCAACATAAATTGTAAATAAAATGTTGGGCATTGTGGAGTTACTTGACTATCGCTTGGAGATTCCCTACGATATCGTGGGCGGGGGAGTAAGATTATTGCAGAAAGTCAGGGCTGATAACCAATATGATTGAACTTCATTGGAAATATATTGGGGTATTCCAAGTGAGATAAATGAGGGCAAAACCCTCGGCTAATTCTACATACGCGATATTTTTTTCTCGAAATATATTCACCTCAAAATGACCACTGATTTTTTAAAAGATTTTTTGGTGCATGATCTCAGCAGTTATACAGAATACATGAAGATATATATATTCATTTAAATTACTGTGATGACCATTGTGACTGGGAGAACTTGAGGATTAAGGGAGAATTTATCACGGTTGAATTGTTTTTAAGAAGAAATTTTCATTATTTTCCATTCATTATTTTTCAATTTTTTTTAATTTCAGATTTTCTTACGTCAAATAATTGGGAATAATTGTAAATGTTAATAATTGTCAACAGAGTTAATTCAAGGTCATGTGTAGCATAATCACTCCATAATTCAATATAATTGTAATATTTAGAGATGGACTTGGACCATCTCGGAATGACTGACCTGGAGAAATATGCTCCTAAAAAAATCAATTCTCCTCCCGAGAAAATGATTCTCTGACAAACGTAATTTCTTTTTCTCAGTGCGAAATTTAGACTCAGATGACTCAGAATCATTAGAAATGTGCCGATTTACTATTCCCCAAGAAAGTGTTTATCTAACCTTTTGGCTCAAATTTTCGGAAAATATCCAAATTGTCTGTACAAAAAATTTGAAAATTGAAATTTAAAATTTGAAATTTGCTTCATGTGTCCCTTCAAGGAACGCATGTTTCACTTCCCGATGCGAGATGAAATTTGAAATTGGAAATTCGGGAATTTCTTACAAAACATTTCAGTTCTTTCAAATTCCAATTTCCCCAATTTCAATTTTGACAGATCGTTTTTGAAAAACTCAAAAAGGAGTGGGGGGTTTTCTCTCCCAAGCTAATCCAGTCTTAAGGAAGTGAATGCCTATCGATTGCGACCAACGTCATTTCGATCGCACTACGCGTTCGCCCGGGAGCGTTAACGAAAAAAAGTGGCTACATACACATACACACACACACACGCACACACATACACACACTTTTCTAAAAACCGTCTGGGGAGCTTCTACTCGTTATGAAACGTCGACATTTTATGAAATTACGATTTTTCATTTCCTGGGTGAAATCAATAACTTTCTATCGGGAAGTTAAAAATTACCGTCTTAAAAAGTTAGGTTAAGATGATTCAGAATCATCTAAACGTGGAGATTCACCATTTCCTCAGAAAGTATTTATATGACCTTTCGGCTCAAATTTTAGGAAAATTCAAACGAATGCATACGTTCTTATCGCACAAGGCACGAGATAGTACATTAGAGTACAAGGGCACAAATTTCGCCTCGCCTTCGGCTCGGCCTGTAAACTACACATTCGTTGAAAACGAAATTTATTACCGAGTGCTCTATAATATTTTATGTCAAGTCGTGCAGAAGTCGAGTTTTGAGCAGGCTGCGCGAAGCGCAGCGTGCGATAAACTCGACTTATTGCACGGCGCGACATAAAATGATTTTATCATAATGAATGCCGCCCAATTAATTCTCCGTTGGTTTAATAGCAGACAATAACATCCTTTATTATCCCCACGAATGAATAGCCTGTCAGGCTTATCATGCATGAAATAAAAAGTAAAAATGATGAAATTTCAGGATCCACCATAATGTTTAATCGCAGAGCGTTAAACCACTAGGCACAGGCTCTAACGATTCATAAAATGAATGTATCTTGCGGTAGTACTAGAGCTGCGGCCTTGTAAACATATCTTATGTCCGAACATACACTTACTTTTTCCCTTACTCAGGTCTACTGGCATTTATCAGGCGGAATGAAGGATACTCTTGAGAAAAAGAGGAACACCATTTTTTCCTAGCAGAACATGACAATGATGTTAACGCAAATGGTACTTACTTCGAGTTGTTTCAATTTCTTTTGCAGTAAATTCAAACCAATAGGAGAAAATGAATCCAAACCGGAGTAAAATGAGTTCATTTTTTTTATGTAACGTCGTTTAACAGGTCACATAAGTAGGAAAATAAGTTTTCGAATCAAAAAAAGGAACTTCTATCTAAGAAATCTCTAATTGTCGTTATGAGCAATATTCTAGTTTTTACGGAAATGAGAAAATTTCTTGTCTCATGCAGATATTTCATCTTATAGTTATGAATTTTTGTAAGTTCATCATAAGTCGTTTTTTTTGTACATTTGAAAATTTTTTGGCTGTAAATTTCCGATACATTTTCAGGGAATTTTTATCACATTTTAGTTCCACTAAAATTTTAAAACAAAGAATTTCGTCACTGATAATTCAGAATCTCATGGGGAAATCAATGAGAACTGTAAGTGTAAGTTTAATTATACCATGAAATTTAAATAAATTATTGATGACAAAAGTTGAAGTTTTGGGATAATTTTCATATTAGGCGCAGAATTTTTATTAATTTTTTTTCTAATTTTTCAAGACTTTTTTTTTATTTTAATCTTATTCTAAACTTGAATAGCTGATTTTCTCATAAGACTCTGTGTTATTTTGTCATTAATTAATCATTATCGATAATATTAGACTGAGAATTGAACGCTAACTTAACCAGAATACTTCTATTCTTATTAACTTGCGTTTAGAATTTTTTCAGATTGTAATCTTTGAAATCTGAGAAATGTTTATACTACTTTAAATGTACTAACAATGGGGTATTTCATTAGTAACCGTACACTGAGAGAAAAACGACAAAATTCTCAAACAAGTCTTGCTAGTGACAAGAAACTAGTTTTTTGAAAATTATCAAAAAAGGATTTTTTTGTGCCAAACATGCACAAGAGAGAGTGCGCCGGAATGAAAAATTTTTGTCGCAAAAATAGATTTAGTGGTTGAAACAAAATTGCATCTCTGTACACGCAAGAAATGTCATTTAGGTATAGCACTACTCCTTCGTTATCCGATACTCCCATACGTATTTTGCTCCCGAAAAATTTTTGTTTTATGCGAAGCAAGGGATAGTAGTTTTTCTTTTCGGCTGTCTAATAATCACAGACAACAAATGAACCCTTAAATGAAACAATAATAATTATATAATAGCAATCTTGTAACTTAGGGATAAAATATTTGTTTATAAATTTTCCTCTATATGAGATATTTTCATTCTGAAAAGGCACCGCATGGGGTGAATTATCCGCCTCTTGAGCCAAATATTTCGTTGCTGTCGAAAGCAGAACAATTATTCATGTTTGAGACTTTCAAATTCAAACCAAACAAATTCTTTTTTGGCAATTTTCAACTAGCGATTTGATTGGCCCGAACAAGACTTAATTGACAAGGTGTTTATATTTCTCTCAGTGTAGAACAATCAATCATTTGTGTAACATCTCAAATTTCAGAGGGGTCTCATTTTGCCCCGATCTCCATATGTATTGGAGTAATAAGCAAGATGTGTGTACAATTTCAAAAAGAAAAAGAGTGCGTGAAGCAATATGCGGCCCGGCGCTGGTACTAAATAAAAAGGAATGAATAATAAAAAAATTAAATATAAAAAATATTCCCTACAACGTTAGAGCATTTTTGCCATCAGTTCTCACTCTTTGAAGTGATTTCATCCATCGAAATGTCACTATCCATTCCCTGAATTTCATTACAATAATAATTCACCATTTCTAATTAATTTTCGGGATAATGCTTCACCTTTCTGTGGGTTATACGAGTATTCTAAAGTTTTCCCATAACGAGGTGGGGGCGAGATGTAGGAAGAGGAAGGCAGGGAGAGAGAGTGGTTACTAGGTTGTGGCCAGTGTGCGGTAAAGTCGGAAATGCTTTCGGGTAACGGTGTGGCAGCTGGCTTTGAGAGCCTTCCTCGTGGATTACTTTGGGTTACGCACTTGGAATATGGAACGAAGGGTAAAAATTTCACCCACTTCAATTCACGCAAATGAAATTTACGCGAGTGAGAGTTTGTCGAAACTTGCGGGTGAATTTCCTTACCCATCGGGAATTTTTTAATTTATTCAGAACTCGGTGAATAATTATTGAAACTTGGGCTTCAATCGGGGAAAAGCAATTTCCGCAATTAAAGGGATTCCTTGATTGAATCACTCTCAGTGTCAATTATTTTCCCGAGTATTCTTGAGAGTGGGAGTAGGAAGTGAAAGTATGATACCAGTTTCAAAGGAGAGCATGGAATTTGCTATTTCACCATCTAAAAATTTTGCGAGGGTTAATGTTATTCATTAAAAAATTTGAATGATTTTTTAGATTCACTAAGAAAATGGTTGTGATTTATGCGAAGTGGTATGAAGGAGTGAGAAGGCGCTGTGTCGCCAGATATTTACGATAAGAATTCATTATTGACTAAATATTAGAGACGATAAGTTTTTGAAGAATATTGCGTTGGAAAGAAAGGTTGTTTTCAGGGTATGCTCGAATGAAGAATGACATGAAAAGTGTTTATGTTGAGTGACAGTTTTATTACAAGCGTGTTCAGGTTTAGAGAGTTTCTTGGGTGAATGAGGGTGGCCTGTATGACGAACAGTGAGGTCACTTTTTGGAACAAAGGGTGTATTGGTTGAGAATGAGTGCGAGTGAGAGAGTATTTTTGAAATAAAGAAAGAACAGAGTGTTTGCCCGAATGAGAGAACGAAGAGTGAGTCAGTTGTGATCGGATGGATGTCACGTGAAGGTGTAGAGTAACTTAGCTCATGTGACGATGTATTTTTATTAATTCGATTTGAACTCAAATATACGTTCATTTATTCCACTAAATAAATATCCTGAGCTCTCATGATTATGATGCTACATATCAACGGAGGGTTAAAGAATTTTTGTGATGACAAATACTGATGAAAAGTGTTTTTCCTTGGGATAATGTTTAAGATTTTATGCCCTTCTGG